AATCCTAAACCAAACTCTAACCAATCCCTAAACAAACCCTCAATCAAACCCTAACTAAACCTTAAACCCTAAAACAAATCCTAACCCAACCCTAAACCAAACTCTAACAATTCCTTAAATAAATCCTAAATCAAACCTTAACTAAATATTAAAATCTAAATCAAATCCTAAATCCTAAATCCTAATCAAATTTTAAACCCTAAATCAAATCCTAACCAAAATCCAAACCCTAAACCAAATCCTAACCAAACTCTAAATAAAATCCTAACCAAACTATAAACCCTAAACCAAACCTTAACCAAATCCTAGTAATTTCTACAATAGATTCAAACCTCAATAACTAATGAATGAACCGTTGATCTTAACTAAAAAATTTCTCACTTTTTAAAAAATAAGTTAAAAACAAGCATAAAAAATTTGAAAAGGATCGGAATTACCAAATAGACGATAATCTCAAAAACGTGCTGGCCTTCTTCTCCAACCTTGATGCCAATCTTTTAGAGCCAATATCTCTCCTATTCACCGTTCGATTGATCTCAAAATTTTCATACACATAGAAAAATAAGTCTAATATCCTCTAATATAAGTTTCACTCCAATCCAATAAGTAAATTGTAAGAAATCTTAAAAACTCTCATTAGACCTAATTTTCTATTTTCTGAGACCTTGACTCACTTAAACCTCAATAATCCTCAATTCAACCATTAGATCGAGCTCAAATTCACAACACATATTGAACACAACTATAACCATTAATCCACAAAATTTCACCCAAAGATCTATTACAAAACTCTTGAAATCACTCAAAATATAAATCCTATTTTATTTCACAAAATCCAAGTCATCCAAAACAAACCTTGACTTTGCAAAGCTCTTACAAAGTTAATATAGATCCAAATCATCCAAAACCAATGCTCATAAAAATTTTATCTAATATTCTATTAAACCTTACTCTCTGATTTATCAAAGAATCCTGGAATAGTCATCTAGACTCGGTTTTGTGCCTCAAGGTCTGATTTCGATCCTAGTTTATAACTGGCCCTTTCCGGGTATCAATATCTAGTTTTTCTAAGTAAATTTTGTTAGAATTTACTCTTAAATTCCTTCTAAAGATGGTTATATCATTTATTTTTCCAATCTACTTTGTTTTGCCATATTTATGGTCTTACAATGTAAATAGAAGCTATTTTTTTCTAAAAGGGCAGCACTACTACTAAAAGTTTTACTACCTTCCTATCTTTTATCCATATTTTTCTATTTTTCTTTTTAACTTGACTCTTCTATAATAAGATCCATATTATTATCTTTCACCATATGGTCGTGTTATAACATGACAACGTTGCGATGTTCTATAGGACCTCCAAAACATGTTGACTTTGCACAATATATATCTTAACTTGCAAGGCAAGCTTTCTATATAGACACCACATAGTTAGCTTGTTCCACAAGCTCCTAATACATGTTACAAGTAGTTAACTTGTTGACCAAGTTTCTAACCTGTCAATCAACTACTAACACATGTAAAGTCAAAGCAACATCTATGAAGCTTTTAAGAAGATTTTCTAAAAGATATTATGAAATTAATCTACTTTTATCTACTTCTATCTATTCATATTACTTAAGTATTAATTATAATAAATTTATGCTCATGGTATATAGTATTAAAGTTGGATTTGTTTTAGAATAATAATTGTTGATCTTTTTCGTCAAATGTGTATAGTATTGATTACAAACTTGTTATCATTACTACCAATTAACATTGTTGTTATTCTTGATTAGTATTGTTGATGTTGAAGAAGTAATTTTTGATACAATATCTATTTTATCAAAGCTTCATATTATTATCTTTTTTTAATACTTTTGATACAAATTTTTTTGTATTGATTGTTCTATTGTTGTTGCTATAAGATTTTTTTATTATTGAAAAATCTTATTGCTTGTTGTAGTTGCACTTGTTGTTTTGACAATGACATCATCATTGATTGACTATTATATTAATAATTTGGATTAGAAGAACTATGGCATATAGATGTTTATCATAAAATACTTAATGAACGTATGAAAACTCTATACATATACAAATGAGACATCGTAATATCTTATAAGTATAGACAGGAAATCAAAATAGAAGTCAAGCAAGACAAAAATACATGTACCAATCTCCCTCAATATCAAGTCCTAATAATTGATATGCATACACAAATATAAGTGAGCAAATGAAATGTGGATTTTTCTTGCCAAGATCTACAAGTTGTTAAAGATCATTAATAAGATCTTTTTTATGAAGAAATTATATAATCTTTAAAATATTAATAAAGGATCCATGGAGAATATTTTTGCTAAATCTTAAATCTTAAAAATAAATATATTAAATTTAATAGTAAAATAGGAAAAAAAAATATAGATTTTTTTATACTTACAATATAGCTAGAATTATAGCATTTGCTTATTTAATCAATAGCATTGAAAAAATAAAAAGAGATCATAGAAGAAATTATGCATTTTATATTATTTGAAGAAAAGATGTAGACAAAGAAGAAGAATAGCTCTCTATTTTGGCCTTTATAAAGCATGGAAAAAAAATAAAAAATATATATATATATATATATATATATATATATTTATAGAAGGAGTATAAATCAAAGATTAATAGATTCAAAAGCAACTATAGCACTTGTAGATAAAAGAAATATTAGCTAAGCAATGTAAAGTATCCTAAAACAAACAACAATGGTATAACTAGTACTTATGTTATTATCAATATAACTAGTACTTATTTAGCTCAAAAAATATTACACAAGTCACAAGCAACAATTGTATTGTTGTTTTAATCATACCATTATGTTTGCATTATCACTATAGTAGATATACACATCTAAAGAGATATGAATAAGCTTCTAAACTTCAATAAGATTGCAACCATTTAACTCTAAAGCTACAATAGTAGAATTAGTAAATCACAACATTTATTTAAGATGCGCTTCTTAGTTTTGAATTCTAAAAAAAATGTATTTTGTGGTTGTAAAAGATAAACATTGAATTCTTTGAATACATGATATATTCTTGTCAACTATAATCTTATATAAGAAAGGTTGTAAGCTTAGCTTAGATGAGAATAGATTTAATTAGATTCTTCTCTTAAATAACTTACTCATGTAAGATATGCTCAATGGTAAAACTTACCTTATGTCTTGTGAGATTGAAGAAAATGTTGTAGATGCTAATTCATCTACTTTTGATTATATACCTACTAAATTGCATCAAGTAATAGAACATGCTTTAAAGCATATAATATGAAAGACAAAGTGACTAAATAATATTAAAGGATTAAAAATTAAAAATCAAAATAATAAGGTATCTATATGTAAATCATGCATTTTTTATAAGAACTATAAATAATTTTTTGTGCATAAGTACAAGTATGTTGATGGTATTTTAGATGAAGTAATACTTGATCTTAGTTATTTTGATACAATTAGTATTGGTTATACCAAATGATTAATTTAGAGAATTAAAAAATACTTTGATTACTTTAGTCTTATATTTCTTTAGATTAAGGACCATTTGCAAGTTGCTTACAAGACTTAGAAAGCAGATGCACAAAAGAGAATCAAAAGAAAGGTGAAGATTTTTTTTATTGATTAAGATATTAAGTTCTTAAATTTTAAGCTAAATTCTCACTTTAACATTGAAAGCATTTGATATATGATAACTCTTGTATGTATTTATGAAATTATCAACATGACAAAATATATGATACAAACTATTTTTAACGAGTACAAATACTTTTAGAAAATATCAAATAGAATTGCTAACATTGAATGTTTGTTACTAAGTTTGTGACTTAGACTTGCAATCGCCTTCTATTTCCAAGATTTAGTAGTCAAACACCACATAAATTTTTTTATTATGATAAATAATTATTTAATATATTTATTATTTTGATTATTTTATTTAGTATCATATACCAAGAAAAAACATCAAAAACTTGATACAAAGGCAAAAAATTGTATCTTTATTAAATATTTAGATGTGACAAAAGACTATAAGATTTTTCTACTTAAGAAGAAGAAGATGAATCTCGGCTTAGATTTGGTTTTTTTTATGATGAAGATGAATTTTTTGATAAGCCAATAACTCTTTAAGAAAGTAGTAGAGATGGTGATTATAGCTTTATAAATTATTAAGACATTATGACATTTTTTATTTGGAAAAGATCCTCATTTATGAAAATAACCAAAAAAATCTATTGATATTACTAAGAATCCAATGTACCATGGTTGTACAAAGTATTAGGTTAGAAAACATCATTTTATCGGACAATGTATAGAGACAAGACAAATTGGATTAGAGTATTGTCTTACAAAGGAGATAGAAGTAGATGTCTTCACAAAACCTATTCTTAGAGATAAATTTTTAGGTTGCAAAGCTATGTAAGATCCTCTTTTAATAGAGTATTGAGTCCTACTTTTGAAACAGGAGTATTGAATAATGGTAGATATTGAATAATTGATAGTACATTTGTCCAATTTATTTCATGAAGATAATGAAAGTGAGACAACAGAATTTACAATCGAGTTATTTCTTCGTCAACCTAACAACGAACTATATAATTCATGGCTCTTGTTAAAGTTTCATATTTGTTAAACATGTTCAAATGATTAGAAACCTTCACCTATGGGCAAAGTCGTCATGTACATATTCACCCACTTGGCCACTAATTGGATATCCAGGTTCAGTGGAATTTACTCGCAACTCAAATTGTGTTCTTAGAAAACGTTTTAATGGACTCCAATCGTACACAATTTCACGAGTTTGAAAGTCGCTTCTGATTGATTAGTTGCAAACGCCCAGTTGCTCTTTTCCGACACAGCAGACTCAAATTCGAGCATTAAAAATCAAGAGGATCGCAGTAGGTACACAAACAATGGAGCTGAAGGCACAATTTCAGTCATCGGGGATAAATTCCATCTGCCCTTTGCAATGCGACAAAACTTGAACTCAATCTCAACACATTCTCAAAGTATCGAATCTGTTATTACGAAAATATGTACATATGGGCATCACACATTTTACATCCTCGTCTAACAGATAATCGCACGTGCACCGAGAGCTTTCATGGCTCAAATCACACACACCACCGCGTGAGCTACTAAGCTTCAGAAGAGAGATCGATAGAGAGGAATTCTAACTCAATCAACGGGATCACGTGATCCGGAGCGTCCCGAACGGATTTAAAACGGGATCGCACTAGCGACGCGAGGGTACACAACGCGGTTGGGGTGGTGAAGCAGGCGCCGCGCTTTCTGTCTCCGGAAGCAGTACAGAGCGGCACCCAAGGGCCATTCCACGACCGCTGTGATAAGAAACGCCACCACTCCCAGCGTGGGTCCAACGATTTTGCAATGGCACGGATTCTGGCGTGTCCCGCACTGCACACACAACGGAATCGCCATCTCTTCCGCTCAAACTCACTGACGTCGTTTACTCGTCTTCACTCCACCAATCTGCTCCTTCTGCTGCTCCCACTGCTTCTATAAGTGCGCACTCTCACCAACCGTCGTGAAATGCCGCAAAGGACCCAAAAATGATCAAAAGCTTGCGACATGAGGAATTGGTAGATTGCGCGGGATCGTGAGCCGAGTTTATGGTGAACAGCGGAGTCTGAGGGGGTCGCCACCTGGCACCTCGCTGGCGAATCTTATGTCGATAATGAGAATATTCGACACGTTGCTTTCTTTGCGCACGTGTCGTTTGGGTGACGGATTCTATTGAGAGCGTCGGGGAACGATTACCGGCGTTGGGAACAGTGGCGCCAGATCATCATGCTTACGTGGTACTTTGCTCCAGTGGCGCTAAAAAAAACAATTTCACTGTTAGTTTTTATTCATTACAGGAATTGATATTTGTGGTTTCCCAGAGCAGTGAATGGGTCAAACTGGTGAGATATTATTATTATTATTATTATGTAGTGTAAATGGATATTTTTGCTTTGTTTTTAAATGACATCTGTACATTTTCTATACTTAACTTAGGCGGTTTAAATTTATATTTGTCATTTTAGATAGTATCCATCTAAGCCTGCTAATACATGAAGGATCTAATTTTGTCTTTACTATTCTTCTATTAAAAAAGTTGAACAATGAAAGTTGAAATATTGATGTAAATTGATTTTTACTTTATTTTATTTTTATTATTTCAACTTACAGTGGCTTATTGCTATTATTTTATGACTATAAAATAATTCAAGAACTTAAATATGATTTTTGATATTCATTCTTATTGAATTAATATTTTTTAATATTCTTTAACATGTAAATTATATCTTCAAAATTTTATAATACATTGCATCATAAGAATTAATTTTGGGTGTAAAATAACACATCAATACTTGTACTTATGTTCTAAATTAACTGATTTTTATGTGTATATAGATTGTTACACTTGAGACTAATTCATCAAAAGATATTATTATTATTATTATTATTATAAATGTATATCCATACATGTATATTTATGTTCATGCATATTTTTGAAACAGATGGCATACTCTGGTAGCCAAGCTCTTGATCTAGACTAAGCATCTGATAACCCTGAAATACCAGCTAGGTCATTTATAATTTAGTTGGAATAACACCATGAAATTATGTGTTTTTATATTTTATGGAAATCTAATGCCCCCAATAATTTAAATCTCTTCCAAGTGACTATCTTTCATAAGAATTGAAAGCCTCTTTCCCTTTGTTCCCCCCCCTCTACCTCCAGTTTTTTTTATAGTATTAAATGAAGTTGTAAAGAGATATCGCCTAAGCATGGGTTTGGTTGGATTTTTTTGTTCATGTATTGTATCATTGTCCATATATATATAAATTCTATATATATCTATTATATTAAACAACTTGGGTATGAGATAAAGAACCCTTTTCATTTGCCATGAAGAAGGGAATGCAGAGAATGCAAGAGCCCAGGAACTTGGGGAGCATGGAAACTTGAGGCTTTCTAGGGCCTTGTACTCTAGAAGCGACTGCTCCTAAAACCTTCTACAACTTTTCCATGCCCAACTACATGGATTTCTGCTAATATATATATATATATATATATATATATACATTCCCAACAATCTTCTTACTTTCAATAGGGTGAGTAATCTCATGTGGGCACCCACTTGCAAAACAAGGAGGAAGAAGAAGAGGAAAACAAAGACAAAAGGAATGCACCCTTGCAACCACTATTATCACTACCACCACTACAATCCTACAGTGGGAATCTCATCTCCTCCTTTCTTTCTTACCCTCTCCTCCTATAACCACTATTTGTCACTCACCACCCATCAGCTCATAAACAACTGGGTCACATCACTGCTGGACATGGGGTAGTGGACATGACCCATGACCACTCCCACCACCACCACCCCATTTACAAAGAAGAAACAGGACAAGGATGAATGAGGGCATTCATCCAACCAAATGCAAACTTACCCCCACTCTCACGAAAGCAACTAACTGACTAGTTTAGAGGTGAGCTGCAGTCAAACCTCCCACAATGCTCCCTTGTAATCCTCCTCTCTCATTCTGCACCAAAGTTTAGGGCTAGGGCTAGGTTTAGGGTTTGGAGTGGGAAACATATCATAGTATTTTGGAGGATTTGGGGTTAAGCCCATGTTCCACACTTGGTCTGAAGTGGGCTTCAAGAGACACCTAGTGAGCTATTGTGGCTCTGAAAGCAACAATATATATATATATATATATATATATGAATGAGAATTGCATTCCTGATGAGTGTGGCCCCAAGCAAACCATGATTTCATTTAAGGATGTTTTGTGATGAATGACCTGTGATACTGATGGGTTCATGTCCTTTACATCATCTGTAGTACACATATTTCTTCTTTAAATATTAGAATTAAAATGAAATTACATAAAAAAGCCCTTTCAAGTCAAGACCCTGCCTCAGTGGCTAATTCTTACATTCGCTTCCTTCACAAGATTTTAAAATAGTCATGAAGCCAAAGGTTGGTAAATGCCTAGAAAACATGCATTTATTAAAATGAAGTTGGTAGGATTCCTTAAAATATGCCGTGATGTTAGTTTTTGTCAATGGGCTTCACATGGAATCACTGTGTTCGTGGAAAAATAAGATTTTTTATTTTTATTTTCATTTCTTATTTGTTTGATGATGGTTTTATGCCCACTGGTATTGCAATTGGGATGGTGATTTATTTATTTATTTATTTTTGTAACTTTTAAAATTACTTCTTTAATTCTTGTAATTTTTCTTACTGATACAAATAGTAGAAGGTGTTATATCCATGAATTGAAATTTCATAAATAAGCTTCTCACAGCTACCTTTTGCATTTCATAAATATTTTCATTCCTATTCTTATTTTAAAGACCACATTTTTGGGAAAGAAGATGACAGATTAAAATATTTATTTTCCAATTCTATTACTAAATTCATATTAACATTTTAAATGACAATTGTGTTTTTTGACCATGCCAATGATATGATGTACAGTTGTTTTGCACATTTTGGTTATATTCTAGAATCCAATCTTGTGAAATCAAATGCCATGCACATTGACTATATTATCACAACTACAAATATTTATACTTGAAAAAAAATCATGACGATGTAGTATTTTACTAGAATTTGATTTTTGTTTTTTTGATTTTTAATAAATTTGTTTTACTTTTTGTGTAATAATAAATTTGTAATCATGAACAATAGATATCATCTATTATTTATGTTATTTGTGAAACAAAAAACTAAATATTTAACACTATTTTTTTAATGAAATATATATATATATATATATATATACACATACACATTTGTGAATGTCAAAAAATTTAAGATGATTTCTAAACTCAAAATTTGCACTCTTTTTTAATACTCCCAAAATAGACTCGTAATCACAAATCCAAGATTTCACATATATTCAAGAGCAAATAGTAAATCAAAGATTTTGAGGTCACATTAATCTCGAATATTTTGAAAAATACAGTGGAAACAAAAATATGAATCACTCAATGGAATGAATGCATTTTTCAAAACATTCTTTCAAAATTTTGACATTTACTTCATGAAGCAGGAATAAAATAAATTAAAAATTACTGGAGTGTTGTAATGATACGTTCTTTGATTATGACAACCTGATTCTTGGTTGTAGTAATAATTGTAAAGAGTAATATTTTTCTTATTTTATTAATTTTTATTATTTTCTAACATTTTTGTGTCACTGTGTGTTAGTTTTATGATAAACTACCACTTGTTTATGTAGTATAAATATATATATATATATATATATCTATATATTTTTAAAATAAAATTGACTTGGTCTTTTTATACAATAAAACAAACACTTAAGTGTGTGTACATCATTAATACCACCACTAACACTGTAGAACATAAAAAAATTGCTTGGCTTGAACATTTTGGGCTGTTGGAGAGATGGTCTTTGCCTGGTAACAACAAGTTGTATTTCCATACAGAAAGGTCCAGTTCATACTTCTGGTCAAGCTCAGAAGAATAGGCTCCATTGTCCCTGTCTCCATTGAAACCCCCTTCTATGGTCAATTCAAATTAAAGTCTAGAGTCAAGACAGAAATGAATACCAGGCAATCTCAACTCCAATTGTCCTCATGTGTCTGTCCTCAAGGTGATGATTGTAGAACTTAAAACTAATTAAAATTACACACACACACACACACACATATATATATATATATACATACATACTTCCTCACTGACTTGATGCAGCAGCCACTGATGCTTTCACAAGCTGTCACTGTGATAGCTACTATGGATTTCATGACTTTGCATCAAACAAAGATCTGGACTCAGTCTGAACAGATCCATCACCACTGTTATTAGTACTGGAAGTTCACATTTTCAACAAGAAATGACTAAATGATGTGAGTTTATTGCAGCCATCAATACACATGAAAAAAGAGAATGAGAATGGGTTTATGTTTTTTTTATCAGCTCTGCATAATGAAGACAAAAAGTTGGAGCTGCAGTAGCCCACCAGTCAAAGGAAGACTGGGAAATGAATTGAAGAATGCATGGTGATCAGTTAAGGCTAGGTGGGGGATTCCACTTACATGAGTCAAAAGATTGAGCTCCAACATGAAAAATGGGTAATGTGTTTAAGCAAAAATATATGTGGAGGTGACAAAGTGATGCTGCGAAAGAAAAAAGAACTGAAGCTACTTTCAAGGAAACTTGCAGGTGTGATTGTTGCTACTAAAAAAGTGAATGTTGCATCAAGTCCATTCAGCTTTTGGGCTGCAGATATCTGGGCTTAGGTCTCCTGGATGATGACCAATAAATGTCAGTGATCGAGGAATTGCCCATGTTGGAACACTGACTATCATCCCCAACACTGTCACTGTGCACCACATGCTGCTACCAGATTTTCATCCTTTTGGTTACTTCTCATGCTTCTTAGATTGAATCTTTTCTCCCATGGCTTGAGCAACTTCATTTGAGGACTGAGATATCTGAGTCAGTGTGCAGTGGCAGTGAAACACAATTGGACCGCAGAACAAGGTCGTTTCCATCTGCTGTAAAACATGGGATCGAACCAACCCATGACCTTCCACAAGTGGGTGTGGAAAGTGTTGTCACAAATTTACTGCATTAGACTGAGTATAAACGAAGTTTTTACTATGATTCGCCATTACACGGAGAGTCCTGACACAGTTTTTAAGGTCCTACACTTAAAACATACCAAGATCTGATCTCGAATCTGGCCGCAACATCCCAGCACATTGCAGCTTTAGAATCGGAATATTACTTGCGCTTCACTTCGGTTACAACACACGCAAATATAAGGAAACAACAGCGAGCTGTATGACAGAATACAGCCACCAAAATAAGTACTGAACCACCAATTGTACATGAGACACTCGTGTGATGGAAAAACGAACATTCATTGACAATTATCATAAGTACTCTCCTGCAAGAGGCACGCCGCCTGATTGGAAAAACGTCTGAAGACTACACCATCTACAATATTTGGCATACTTAAGGATAGAATGTGCAAGGAGTTGGAATATTCTAACAGCATAATACTTTCAACATAGGTCTTATCCAGCTGCAATGCAAACCTTGTAGTAAATACTTTCAAAAATGTTGAGATTGGGAGGTGATGAAGAAGCAAACAGATGAATCAGACACTCAGCATTTTCACACTGAACACTGAACTCTGTACTAGATATTTCCCACAGAAACACCTCGTCTTCCAGTTATCCTCATTGTTTGTGCAAACATCTATAATATCAACCACAATCTTAACTCCATTATTCCACAGTCCAGGCTCCCTTATCCTCCCAAGCAACGCTACGAGAAACACTAAAGCCGATGCTCAAGGTGGGAGTGAAATGTAGTCTTGCTAAGAGCCCAGGGCATTCCACTAAGATAGACAAGCCTCAATCAAACAGCACTACTTTGATGTTTCCGACTTCATCAGAGAACCTACGGCCGGAGGTTTAGTAATCGGCTACTCGTCATATATGTATGACGTCGCAGATACTTGGACACATTCTACCTCGCACCACTTGAATTAACAAAACTTGGCAGACTTGAACCTCAGAGAGTACATGAACGAGTTTGCGTATTCGAATCGAACAATGTCTCCATGCCTTAGCGATTTACCTCCATTTACAAGGCAATCATTATACCCGATTCGCCTAAACGTATTGGGATTGACGAGCAAAGCTGAAGCAAACCAGCCACAGAACACATGAATATCTGATGGAGCGCAATCAGATAGGCAGGTGTTGGAAATTTGGACAACATATTGCGGTATACCAGAGGAGGTGTCACGGCCTTGAAATATGCTAATATCTTTGCTTGTACACATATCTGCAAATGACACACAAGAAATCATTATTCACCTGCTTACTGAGCATAACCATCGGACATTGCGTTTTCACTTCTCAGAGAAATTACACAGGTTAGGACACTTACTAGATGCTAAGATCCGACGACTTGCATACCGAGCCCTTTCAACCCTCTGATCTGGGCTTAGCATGTCTGCAGGTGACTTAGACCTCCTCTCCAACCCTGCATTCGAGCAACTAACAAGTGTAAAGACATGAAAATGACCAGTTTTCATTATCCAGAAAGCTTATAAAACTATTCGTTTGATACCATGTCAAAAGTAAACGCCTTACAGCTGAACCAAGTCAGCTCGTTCTCGCACACGTGCGAGAAGGACGGTAAAGAACACCCCGCTGTCCGCACTGATCGAACTTGTGTTTAATGATTTCCTTAAGAGGATGCTAACAACAGTCCTTATCCATTTCTAAGACTCACGCGTGACAGAAAACAGTCTCAGTCGAACTGATTCACGAATATGTCAATTGAATGTAAAGCTCAATCAGGTTCGTCCGAGGGTGGCTCTTCATTCTATGAAAAATTAAGATTAAAAAATTAAATAGGAGCTCAAATTTCGAACGAAAGAAGGGAATTTACTTTTATTCATGAAGTAGCAGTCATGGCCATTTACATGTGACGGCAGTTTCAACTTTCAGTTGATATGCAAAGGAGTTTGCGTACTGAAAAGTAATGCTATCCCCATAAGGAATGGGATTGCCATCATTGACAAGACAGTCATTGTATTTTACTCTTCTGAACACCTTGGGGTTGACAAGTTTGGCCGACGCGAACCATCCACAAGCCACATGCACATTGGATATCGGACACCCTACTGTGCATAGGTTGAAGATCTGAACACTAAATGTTGGTATGCCGTTCGGCAGCGGGCTTCCCGGCCCTTGGAATATGCTTATGTCAAACTTTGTACACATTTCTGCAATCAACCCAATGTTCCACACATAAATCCATCTACCCGTTGCAGTTTCGCTTTGATTAGATTCCCATTCACCCGGCCTCATCTTGTTCCCTGTTCAGATAATCCACAGAGCTACCCAAAGATAAGGGGTTGGGAACTGAGGAGCTTACCACCATCAAGTAATCTACGATTCCTATAGTTCACGGATCTTCTGTTAGCCCCTGGTGTGGTATCTGTGAAAGGGGAAGAGTCACTCAGCGGCCTAGGTCCGTTCCAGTTGACGTCCACGACTTCCTTCACACTTCGAAGACCTGCTAAGTATCAATTGGAATGATATCACTGGTCAGAACTGCGATTCTGACCACAATTAGATCTGTCAGGAGGAATTTATCAGCCACATAGAAACTTAAATCGTGAGCTTAATGTTCGTCAGAAGAACAAGCGAGGATTGAGATTGCAGCCTATTGAGTGAGAAAGGAATAATCCAAAGACTAAGCTCCTCATGACAGGTACCAATACAGTTGACAGCTCAGCCGATCCGTGAATCTACCTTTGTAACACTCAACTGGCGGGATTCGGTAACGCAACATTGCAACAAGTTCAGATTTGTGAGGAAATATTTCGTGATGGCTTCAGCTAGATAAGACATCAGTTGGTGCATGACCATGTCACCATATTCTGGAAATCCACTTGTACAGCGAAGGACAGCTACAACTTTAACACAGGACTCGCTGCAATATTCATCACAACACAAAGGAGACACCTGACGATTGGTATAACTATTAATTTCAGAGGACCAATTATAGTTGAGACAATAACATTCGTTGATTATACAATTGGAGAGGAGAATTCTCAGACACTTGTTCATGAATTCTTCCCTCGCACAGGTAATCATGTGCAAGCCTAACTCGGAAGCTAGTCAGCACGAAACTAACACTCAAGAGAAGACACTCTCAAAGATCAGACAACTGTAAGGAATGAGAGCGTGATTCGACATCGCACCTGATGAGGGATCGGCACACGTGAAGAATGGCAAGGCGAAGAAGAGAAAGAAGGAGAGGGAAAAGGGGAGTAGCTTTCGCGGTTGGAAAGGGACTCTGATGACAAGGATCATGGCACTCATATCTGCAGAAGGCACGTCTCCTCGAGGTGTAGGCGAATGAAGATCTAAAACCAAAATAGGCTGCATGCCAGGACTAGAGCAGACTTGTTGCTGAACTGTGAGCTGAAGGAAGCTGCTTGCCGCAGGCCATAGCTAAAATTGATCTCTTCAAATCCAGAAATGATCCGTGATGACAAATTATAACCTTGAGCAGGAGCTCACAAAGGTCTCCTCATTACATGCATCCCTATCCGGAGAATGCATAAAAATAACAGGTGAGAAAGCAATTCTGTGTGGGCAGACCCGAGACAGCTCCGGTGAACCCCAGGTGAAATAAATTCTTCCTTGAGTATTCAAAGCTCAAAAGAATGGATCAGAACCACCAGCCCTCTACAGTCTTAGTACTCACAACGGCATGAGTCCCGTTCCACGCGATCAAGGGAACGCATGACTACGAAAGAGCGCGAATAGTCTTAGAAGGCATTTCAAGAAGGTCACCTCTTGAGAGGGCCTGGATCCTGCTTGCATTTCAAATCATGCCTACGGTTGAACACTCCCGTGGGCTTCAGTAGAGTCAAAAGACCATGTCGTGTATATGGTGACAGACTCGTGTTGACAGGAATCCAGATGTCCAATTTCTTGAACGTGACGACAGGGAGCACTATTTGGAAGGCAAAAGAAAGGGAGTACAATGAGGTCATTCAGCTGAGAAGAAGGAGGTTAGTGGCAAAGTCCCTTGGGAAAACCCAGCCACTAAAACACTAGCCAATAAAATTACGACCACCGACTTCAATAAGAGAAAGAGGTCTGGTTGACACGCTCACGTGAACAGGCTCATGCACGGCACCTTTCAGAGGACAGGAAAATTTCGCCGAACGCTGTATCAAACCAGAAGTTAAGAAGACCAGGTTGTCTCTCCCATTGCTAGAACAGATACGAGGGACCTAGGGACTTAAGGTTCCATGAAACAGCAGCACCTAATCCTATAGCAGATGAACCAAGCTGTATTAGCAAGGATCGTACCCCCACTTATCGAAAACTGCAAGCTACAAAGATCCAGAAGTACTTGCCAACTCCTCTACTACTCTATACAGTCTCCTCACATGTAAAAAGACTGTGCAAAGACAGCTCCTCACCACCAAAAACTGCAAACAAGTATCTAGCAGCTCCACGTCCACGAGATACGGCACAGGCTGACTTTCACTCCCTCATCCTGACGCATTCCCAGTGCCAAAATCCGGATGTGCACCCATCTGAACCTCGCCGGTTCATCATCTCATTACACTAAAAACCACCCGGTCCTCCAGTACAAAACACCAACAACTCCAAATACTCGCCTCCTGACTCGATCCAATAACCGTCATAGAACCTCCAATTCCACACGCACTCACACGCACACGCACTGCATTGTAATATCCTCAACTCCAACAATTCCTTAGATAAACCGCAGTGTTATCGTCTCACACCAGAACCTGCATCCGCATTCATAGATCAGACCATCCCACCACTCTCTCTCTCTCCCTCCCACTCCCTCTCTATCGCTCGCTCCACAGAAGCAAAGTTCAGAAACTGTCTCAATTCTGAGTCTCAAACCAGGAGAAACGGGACTTTTAAACGCGTCTTCCTTGTAGCGCTCTAGTGCAGGTGTGGTGAGAGATCGCGAGAGACGAAACGGTCCCAGCAGATGGAAGAGAAGGAGGAGGAAGAGGGAGGAGCTGAAGCAGAAGAAGAAGAGGGAATGCGAAATGTGAACAAACCATGCGCTCAGCAGAGCTACAGGGAAGACGAAAAAAAACCCAACAACAACTCGAAAGGGGAAGGAAGGAGGCTGGGCCGGGCTGGGCCGGGCTGGGCTTGGCCAATGCGACGCCCAGCCCGGCGACAGAAATAAATTACCGCGCTAGAAGTTACGTAGCCACTGGCCCTGCAGTAAGTAAAGTAAAGTAAAGTATATTGAACCATCCCTCCCTCGTCGTCGTCGTCTGGTCTGCGTACGTAGTTACTGCGCAGTCAAGCCCAGTAGACGGCTTCAGTACCATGGCCTTTATGAAGGTTGGGGCTCCATTTTAAACCCCTCGGTAAAACAAATAAAAATAAAAACAAATGTGTGTCGTTGCTTGGTTCACTCCGCGGGCGCGGGCCAGGTGCTGGCCGGGTAGCCAGCCACCCAGCCCGTGGAGGTGGTGCAGGGCTGGGCAGGCAGTGGAATAATAACAACAATAACAAAACCGAAACTCGTTCTCTTTATTTTCTAATCCATTCTATTCCCTCCCTTCATGAGGAGATACTCATTTATAACTTGTCCACGGTTGCTCTCTCTCTCTCTCTCTCTCTCTCTCTACTTCAAATCCTCTTTTTTTTATTATAAAATCACAGTTTGTATGTATTCACATGAGTGGGTACAGAATTACAGTGTGTTTGTGGGGAAGAATGTTAAGTTTTTTTTCTTTCTTTTTGGCTTTTGTGTCTTTTCCTTTTTAGTTAGTATTTATTTTTTAATTCTTCTCTGGGAACTTCATGCTCTTATGAATTCAGTGTACGTGTATACACTGAATAACTCTCTCTAAGGTCTTCCTGGAAGGCATTGGCTGAATGGGGCCCCTTGGAATTTGAATCACCTCCAGACACCAACAAAAGCCAGCAAAACATGCAACAACAGTGGCCAAGTCCAGAACCATGAAAATCCATTGATGAATTGACATGTCCTATCCTGACAGCCTCACACCCACCACCACTTGGGTATAGCCCCACCCCCTAGTTGACCCCCCACACCAGGGGCTCATTTCCCATTTAGAGTTTTAGGTTTTCCATCGGATAATCCACTTTGTGGTGCTACCACAATGCCAGATACATTTTCAGTCTTTACCTATTACAATAAAAGTGGTATGCAATAGAATTAAAATTATTATTATTATTATTATGAGTTTTGTTATTATTCTGTGATTTGTAGTGGTGTGAGAGAATGAAATTTTTGTAATGATGCTCTGGAAACTTGTGATATGTTCACTTGGACACTCCGTAGGTTTTTGACTGAAACTACTTCTGGTGTATTTGAATAGAGTTGGTAGGCAACGAAGAAGAAGAAGAAGAAAAGTCAATTGATTTAACAGCATTATATTGGATATAATAACTTTAAGAATTGCAATGATCGTACCCACTACTTACATGAACGTACATCATTGATGATAAATAAACTGTTGTATTGCTTGGAAACTGATGGCAGTCACTACTTTAACACATATTTACAACCTTACAATACAGCATTATGCCAGGATCAACTGGGAGGAGAATGATGTAATCAATTCCACAACTTCAGCTGTTTATTTATTTGTTCATATTAACAAATATTTAACAAATAAGTGTTCAAGAATATATTTACTTAAAAATAAAAAGGGATGTTAGAAACACAATCCCCTTGAAAAAACCCATTTAAAGATATACAGCAAAGATTTAAAGCCACACAGTTACAAATCTGACAATGACATTCTCAATCCTTATAATTTGGTATTATTTCCAAATCTAATAATTGAAGTTTGACACATCATAAGTTATCTTACACTTCTCTCCTTTTTCCAGAAATTTCAAGAATTTGAGTGTTTGAATGCAAATTACATTCACATCTTCCATCTCGCATTATTCAGAGAGATTTTGTGCACAATTGTTGCACAAATCATTTCAAGTTACCACATCTACTGAAAAAACTGGTCAAATACACATTCACCAGCCTTTCACAAGCCGATGCAAAAGCAACACAAGATAAAACAAGAAAAAAGAAAAAAAACCGAATTGAAACCAGCTGAAGGTAAACCTTGCAATGGTGTGAAGTTGCAAGTGTTAATAGATTATTTTAGGAGCTTGTTCATATCATTGAAATCTAAAGTATCGTTCAGACATAGTACCAATAAATCCCAATAGAAATGGGAAAAAGCAAAGCAGGGACCACAAATGGGCCAAACCGGGGCACGGTCTGTCAGTGGCAGTCACTCAATTCAGCCAGGCCCTAGGATTGATTTCCGTCACAAACCACTGAAGATTTCAAAAGTAAAATCAGAAATGCCTGATTCAACACTCTGAGGACATACTAGGGGATGGCAGCTGGGCTTTGAATGCACTCCTAGCCCCATGATAATAAAGTGGCAAGAACAACACTGTGGAATAAACTTCTCATTTATTTCCATTTTTCTGCAAAAAACCGATGAATACAAACAGAAACGAACGCAAACACATAGTGTGAGAGATCATCCTGAGGGAAATGTAGACCCAATTACGAAGCTAGGAAGCGAGATAGACGGAACCCCAATTAAAACATGTGCTTTTGGCGGATGAAACTAAACATGGACCCCAAGACATATCGAGAATCCAAGCATCGGTAAGAGCGCCCTTCTCAAGGGGAGAAGTGTACTACTAAGCTTCTCTTCTCTCTTTCCTTCCTTCCTCTAATCAGCCAGTAATCATGCTTAGCAGTAGCGCCGCCTGTAGCAAACGTGCACTCATAAAGCCAACCCCCCCATGCGGCCCTGTAATTACCCTCCCCCCCCCCTCCCCCCCAGCTTCTTGACAAGGAACATCAACCCTCTCCCTTTCCCTTCCATTTCTCACTTTCTCAGTCTCTCCCCCACTTCCATCACCTCTGGCTGGCTGGCTGCTCAGTACCACTACAGTACTCCTAGCATGTACGTGCACTACTTATACGTATCCATATGGCAAAATTCAGTGACTGGGGCATGCGGTACTCTCCTACAACAGAGGAAGAAAAGAAAAAGAAAAAAACGCTGTTGATACGGTGCCAGAAATTCTACACCCATTTATACGGTGAACTGCAGGCCCAGCTCCAGTTCCAATGCTATCTTCTCTTAAACTTCTTCATCCTTTTCTTCCTTTCCTTCCTTTGCTTTTCCCCTGCGAATGTGAATGGAATTTTTCGGTCTTGGTAGCCGAGCCGCCGGAATCAGCCTAGATGGCAGCGCCACTCAGGGAGGCTCATCAAGGAGGGAGGGGCTCCACAATGGTGGGCTTCTCCATTACTGAACAGAATCACCCCTGTTTATTAATTAATTAATTTTTTATCTACCCCACTCACCAAAGGGGAAGGAGGGTGAGTGAGTGAGTGAGTGTGTGTGTGTTTGTGTGTGAGAATGTGTGCACAATGTTAAGTTACTGGGTGTAGGGAGTTAGTTGAGGGACCATCACAACAGAGGAGGATCTAGTCCGATTCAAAGGCCGTCATTTGCACCCCATCCAACCCTCACAAAGGAAGAAAGAACACATGCAATGCATTGTTAGGTTTTAACTATAGAATGCCGGCCTTAGATGTTGTTGGATTTGTATCCCAAGTGTTATGTAATCAATCCATTTGCATATCCTCCCACTATTTGTTTGTATCTTCCTCCTCCACTGGGGGTGAAAGTTTGGAGTCCTGTCCTTATGGGTTGAATTGGCCATGGTTGTCTTAAACAAAATAGAGAGTTGCTTAATTTATTATTCTATGCACCTAAGACATGCCTATTAGTGTGAATTGAATGCCTTTTCTTATTTATTAATGTACAATGTATTTTTAAATGGCTATATTTGAAATAATTTTAGACACCTACGCAAGGTGACATTGGTACATAAATGCAAACAAAAAAGTTGCTATCATGAGTGTTGTATGTGAAAGTCTTTGGTGACCTTGGCATAATTAATATTTGAGTTCTTGGGTTTTTATGACTTGCTCAATTGCTATTTTAATGTAGTTGATATCCTGTTTCTTTTTCCCATATTGCATAAAGCATTTGGTAAATTATCCATATCAGTACATTGAACTCTTTGTCAATTTTAGCTATTAATATGCTCTTGATGATGGAATTTTTATTAAGTGATTCCATACTTGAGTTAGAACTTGGTGTACTTGTCCAAAAATAATCATACTATAAGTTGATAATGGATATTTAGAAGAAAAAAAAACCTAACTGAATAAAAATAAGTATCTAAGAAAATAAATTATAAATACATATGTTTAATTTTTTTTTAAATAATATATTTTTAACAATGGTAATTTATTTGTCCATTTTGATGTTAATATCTACTATTGCAATGTATAATATGGAGGTGAAACAAACTAATAATACAATTCATTTTTACATGAAAAAAGAGAACCTCATATGATAGTTGAAATAATTACTTGTCAATTTATTTTGGATCTCATTAAATAATAAATTTATAATAGTCTCTTTTAAGTTATATTATATAATTTTTATATAATGCTATAGTAATAAAATTTATTAGATAAAAAAGAAAGCTTTAAAAAAAATTATATATATATATATATATATATATATGATAGATTTATCTTAATATTTTAATTATATATATATATATATATATATATATATATATATATATAAATGAAGATATTTTATTTCTCTTTAATACTTGTGCTTTCTTTCATCTACAAAATATAAAGTTTTTGAGCTCTAAAAGTTATTGAAAAGCATAAAACATAATCTTGCAACACTTGACTCAATACACAGAATGATTAGAAAAGAGACAAGGAATAGTTTAGTACTTAGTCAAAATATTATACAACTTCTAATCCGATACTAACTTGTTTTATGGTACTACTATACAAAAGTTGCTACATATTATGCTACGTTGTTGTATGGCATGATTTGCTATCTGAAAATACACTGGGTATCTAGCTATAGAGAGTTTAGATTAAACTTTAATATGTATCTTTTCTTAGCTTCCAAAACTCCTTTATTTTGCATTAAATTTAAAATATAACAAAATCCCTTCAAAATATATTTTTTCCTCAAA